TTGCACAGTAATCCCTTTACAACTAAAAAACAACTGAGTCCTTGTCGGTCTGGCAATGAAAATTACAAGTCAATAATTTTACTATTCTGTACTGCAGAAGCAGCCTCGCATTGAGTACGTGGAACGGTTACGCAAGATACAACCGCAATTGTCCGTTTTACTTTACATCTGGCAAAATCACTTATAATTAAATATTATACTCGGAGCACTTTTTTTAAAGTTACAGTTGTGAATTTTTGTTAGAGTGAAAGAGTGGTCAGATTCTCCAGGTTTTGGGCCTTTTGCTCGCTTTTTGCACTTTACAACAAAATTAATGCTACTTGGAGTATTCTCGATGCAACAAGATTATTCTTCGTGAGGGTGCTTTCCGATCATTCAATCGATCAAACAATCAATCACTTTATTTAGGAGTAAATGATGGTATCTAGCCAAATTTAAAACCCTCTACTAACTCAGAACACTTAAAAAAAGTAAATAAAATAAAGGAAGACACGATGATTTGCGGTCGCGACAGGATTTGATGACATCGCGGACTGCCGGGAATCTCTCGACCACTAATTTGTCTACTTTTATATTTTTTTTTTTTTTTCTTGGAAACATGACTGGGTCCCTTGTGATTATCAAACAGTTAAAAATTAAAATTTCTTTGAACGAGTCGGTAAAGGACCGGACAAGATGCCCGGCAAACCAAGGATTTTTCCGGTCAGTACCCAGTTTTGACCGGACATTGTCCGTTGACCGGCCGTTATTTGCAGCCCTACTTTACTGACCATTTCTGTAGAAAAAAAACATTCCCTTGTGAAAAATGAAACTCAACCCTTGTGAGGCTCGACCACGTTGTTTGATTTGTAAATATACGCTTGTACTCAGGAAAGTGTATCTTAACCTTATCACGCTTTGTAGGTTTCGTATGCATTATTGTTGGTGCAGTGTTAGGATCAGTTGTTGCACTGGCTGTTGCTGGATTATTAGTGTGGTGGGCGAGCAGGAAAAGGAGGCTCAATAGAAAAGGCACTGAAGGTAAGTGTTGCATTCATGTGATGCGTTTAACTAGTATTGGCATCCCCAAAATATATTTTCAACATTTTCCTTTTTTTTTTTCGAGACTTAGTACTAGCTTCAGTTCGCTATCTACTGCCTTGTGATCTTTGTTTAAACATCTTTTTTTTAATAGATAACCTCTAAAAAAAAAACGATAGCTATTTAGCTATGAACTACAAGACCGCCATTATTTTATGTTGCACACTTGAAGACTGAACTTGATGTGCATAAAACCGACTTTAATTTACTTTGGTTGTATAAGATAAATTTTGCTTTTTGATGTCGATTATTCATGACTATTTCTTGTTTTGTGNGGGTACACACGGGTACACAGGGTGCACACGGGTACACACGGGTACACAGGGTGCACACGGGTACACACGGGTACACACGGGTACACAGGGTACACGGGGGTACACGGGGTACACTCGGGTACACAGGGTACACATGGGTGCACAGGGTACACACGGGTGCACAGGGTACACACGGGTACACACGGGTGCACAGGGTACACACGGATGCACAAGGTACACAGGGTACACAGGGAGACTGGGTAACAGGGAGTCTATATAGAGACTGGGTAACAGGGAGTCTATATGGAGACTGCCATGAATTACTTGCCCTCCTTTTAGCGACAGCGCACGAGGCCACAACTCACGAGGTCGCAATAATGTCTCACTAAAACTTAATATTTAACTTAACGACAGTTACACTTCTGTACATCTACATGCATAATACATATGTCACATGTACACTACCAACTTTAAACAAACAACGAAAATGTTCACTTGCAGCTCAAAAGGGCATTTGCTGGTAAACTTGATTATGATAGAGTGCAGTCAATGAGTGTAAGGTATGTAGCTTATTAGGTTCAAGATGATTTCAAATTGCTCTCTTTTTTATCGTTTATTTTGTTGTTTGTTTGTTTTCCACTTCATGTCAATCTAACTCTCAGTTGTTGTCGGTTCCAAGGTGTGGAAGTATAATAGTTGACCTTGCACTGAAATTCACCTCCACCACAAAGGAACAAGATGTTATTATAACACTTAATGACGCGGTTAAAAATGGCAAGTTGGGAGACTTCGGTGTTGGTGCTATAAAAGGAAAGAGGCCTGATGTGGAACCATCCGGTGGAGGTGCCCCTGATGTGGAACCATCAGGTGGAGGTGCCACATCACCACCTGACGGATCCTCTGGTGGTAAGTCTTCATAACACTTTATTTAAAAGTTTTCCAAGATGATAAATGAATGCCCTTGCCCTGTGCTTGGTTGAAGCATTTTTTTGGTGAGAAAAATGTTTTTGAAAGTTACTATTGCAGTGTTGCATGGGATGGTAAACTATAGATATGAGGTTTGTACTTTCATTTAGACCCAGTTGTCCACTGCAACCTTAACTGACCATTTGTGTGGAAGAAAAAAACATTCCCTTGTGAAAAATTAAACTCAACCCTTCTAAGGCTCGACCACATTGTTTCGTTTGTAAATATACCATGGCTTGTACTCAGGAAAGTGTATCTTAACCTTATCACGCTTTGTAGGTTTCGTATGCATTATTGTTGGTGCAGTGTTAGGATCAGTTGTTGCACTGGCTGTTGCTGGATTATTATTGTGGTGGGCGAGCAGGAAAAGGAGGCGCAACAGAAAAGGTATTGAAGGTAAGTGTTGCATTCACGTTATGCTTTCAACTAGTTTTAGCATCCCCAAAATATCTTTTCAACATTTTCCTTTTTTTGAGACTTAGTACTAGCTTCAGTTCAGTATCTACTGCCTTGTGATCTTTGTTTAAACATCTTTTTTTTAATAGATAACCTCTAAAAAAAACGATAGCTATTTAGCTATAAACTACAAGACCGCCATTATTTTATGTTGCACACTTGAAGACTGAACTTGATGTGCATAAAACCGACTTTAATTTACTTTGGTTGTATAAGATAAATTTTATTTTGCTTTTTGATGTCGATTATTCATGACTATTTCTTGTTTTGTGTCGCTTTGTTATGTTTAAGTGTTTTGCTTTGTTTTCTTTTTTTTTCCACTACAGAGATGGCAATGAGCAGAAGGTGAGATTTTTGTATCGAAATGTTGCTGTTTACTTGCGTTATTTCTTTAGGGCTCGATCTTTTTAACAATTTAAACACCCACTTTGTTTTCATATGATTTTTTCTGATTGGTCCAAAAATGATAGATCACTTGAGGAGCACGCTTGAGATATGGGATGTGATGGTTGTCACTTTTGAAATAATCATTATCCTAATGATCTGTAGAAAAAATAACGATAAAGCTGCGATATAACGCGCGCTGTCATTGGTTGAAAGAGCGTGTTATATCAGCGCACAAAAAACGGAGCTGAGCTGAAGCCGTCGCACCATCTGCCAAATTGTACAATATGCGGCCAATTTGTAAGATGTCCGACCACTTCCCGGACTTTTCTCTACCCTTTTTTCGTCAATTGAAAGTGAAATTTTGGAACATGGGAGCTGGCAAGTAGCAACAGAAGAAGGAAACAAAGGTTTGTAAACGTGCCAAGCACTCTATTGACGCAATACAACGTGAGCCGGCAAAGACGCAAATTACCAAAGAGAAAAAGAAATTGACTGTCCGAGGTTTGTTTGTAAGTTTACGTACGGTAATAAAACTCAAACGCA